AAATATATATATATATATATATGGCAGTGGTAAATACAAACCTATCTTTTTAGGTTTGAGATACAAACCTATCTTGGGACCTTGTGCTTGCAAGGCAGGCATGGCTCTACTGAGCTAAATGCCCAGCCCTCAGGGTTGTTTTTTGTTTTTTGTTTTTTCTCAATGTTGTTTTAATATGAATTTCTGTAATGCGCTGAGATGTTCGATTTTTTTGGTGTATTTATTGATCATTTGTACTTCCTCTGAGGAGTGTCTATTCAGTTCACTCCCTCATTTTCCTCTTCTCCTTCCTCCTCTGCCTCTGCCTCTTCCTCTTCCTCTTCCTCCTATTCCTCCTTGTCTTTCTACTTCTTTCTTTTTTTGGCTTTGTTTTTGGTGGTGCTGGGGTTTAAACCCAGGGCCTTGTGTGTGCTAAGCAGGCACTGTACCTCTAAGCCACACCCCTGACCCTCAGTTTTCCATTTTTTGATTGGGTCTTTTATTTGGTGGAGTCTAATTATTTTGAGTTCTTTATGTATTCTAGATATTAATCTTCTGTCTGAGGAATAACTGGCAAAAAAATTTTCCCATTCTGTAGGTTGTCTCTTTACTCTGATTGTCTCCTTTGTTTACAGAAGACTTTTTTTTTTTTTGCTTGTTTGTTTTTTTTTGTTTGTTTTTTGGTTTTTTGAGACAGGGTCTCACTATGTAGTTGAGACTGACCTGGAATTCACTATGTAGCCCAGGCTGGTCTCAGAGATTCTCCTGCCTCAGCCTCCTGAATGCTGGGATTACAGGCGTGCACCACCACGCCCAGCTACAGAAGCCTTTTAATTTGATGTGATTCCATTTGTTGATTCTTTTTTTTTTTTTTTTTTTTTTTTTTTTTTTTTTTTTGGTACCAGGAATCAAACTCAAGACCTTGCACTTGGGAGGCAGGTGGCTGAACCACTGGGCTAAATCCCCTGCCCCATTTGTTGATTGTTGATGTTATTTTTTTCCTTTTCTTTTTTTAATACTAGGGATCGAACTCAGGACCTTACACTTGTAAGGCAGGCAGTGGAACCACTGAGCTAAATCTCCAGCCCTGTTGATGTTATTTCTTATCAGATGTCAGAAATAACATCAAAGAGGCTATCTTTCCTCCAGCATGTGCTTTTGGCTCCTTTATCAAAGATCAGATGGCTGAATATGTCTGGGGTTTTTCTAGCTTCTATTCTGTTCCATTGGTATGCATGCCTGTTTTTTGTGCTAGTATGGAGCTAAGTTGCCTTAGTATGAATTGGCATTTATCACGAAGTAAACAAACAGTTGCATACAGTTTGCGTGACAGAGTTTTGTTGTGCGTGTGTGTGTGTGTGTGTGTGTGTGTGTGTGTGTGTGTGTGGTTTTTTGAGACAAGGTCTCACTACGCAGTCCAGGATGGCCTCGATCTTGTGGCAGTCCTTCTGTCTCAGACTTCTGAGTGCTGGGCTTACAGGTGTACACTACCCTACTCAGCAAGAGTTTTGTTACTGAGTGATGGCTGTTTGGAACTATTTTAAAAACTGAGATGCTTGATCGTATCACTAAGTATGAGCGGTGGCAAAGAAAGATTGTCCTATGAACAAAACAAGCCTCTCCTTGAAAAACATGAATGACAGGGCTCATGGAGATAGGAAACAAGAACATTCAATGACAGGATGAATTTGCACTGTTCCCGAGATCAGATGAGATCAGGTACATTCAGAGTGGTATGGCCATAGACGGATTTGCTTAGTGATTGATGACTGTATAAGTTTGTGTATCCAGAGCAATCAAATTAATTAATCAAAATATCATTACAAAGTAACATTGTATTGCTAAGATATAACTCATCTACCCTTCAACTTCCTTTTTTGCTCCTGGAGACAAGAGGGGTTTTTAGGAAGGTGGCCATCATGTTACATCATAACTGCCTATACACGGGGATGACACAAATGAATGAACCATTTTCCTGTTTGCCTTTGCAGGGAATATGGAGGAGCTGAGTCAAGCACTGGCTGGTAGCTTTTCTGTGTCCCAAGATCTGAACAGCACAGCTGCCCCCCACCCCCGCCTGTCCCAGTACAAGTCTAAGTACAGCTCCTTGGAGCAAAGTGAGAGGCGCCGCCGGTTACTGGAACTGCAGAAATCGTAAGGGTGCTCTAACTCCCCAGCTTCCTCCTCAGGCTGGGCGCTGGGTGGCATCAGGGATCTAGGCTTGTCTCTGCAGAACGCCTCCTAGGAGACCTTAGTAGGTTGAGTTCCTGCCCCCAAGGTTGGGAGAGTCAGTCCTGACAAAATCAGTATCCTTCATTTATCCTTTTTCCCCAGAGTTTAGGACAAGAAGAGGTAATAGGAAGAGACTGAAGTTTGAAAGCAAAAGTTCACTTACTTGGTTAAAAAGTGCTATTTTTCCTGGCAACCAAACTGAACTTTGCAGTTAAGGGATTTGTGAATGCCACGCCTAGACTTCTATCCCTACATTCCTGGGTTGCCATGTGTGGCTTCTCCCACACGATGTCTTGGAAATGGTGTGGTCTTCCTGGGCCTTTAGCCCACATGTTTCTGTGGAGCCCTTGGGAGCTGACTCTGAGGAAGCGTCTTCCGCTAGCTCTGCTCTTCGTTTTAAATGCCAAAGGGGCAGACAGGAAAGAGCCACACAGGAACATTTAAGAACGGGCTGCTTGGAAGACACGGCCTGTCCTTTTTTCCTAGTGTGCTGCAAAGCTTTTCTGGGTTATAGAGTAAGGAACTGGTGATTAAGAGAAACTTTTTTTTTTTAAGAGAACTATTAAGAGCTGCAGTCATTCGCCTTTGCTCAGCACTACATTATCAGAGAGGTTAACAGATGCTCCTGTGGCCTCAGTTTCCTTGTAGAAGATCACATTCCCAGGCCATTCTTCACTATGTTTTCCTTTTCTTTCATTGTAATGTATTATTTTGGAATAGATTTCAAATGGCTCAAAATATATGGAAGAGGAATAGGCTGAAAAAAATCTCCCTCTCTGCTCTGTCCCTCCTCCTGTCCTTAATTACTAGTTTCTTATGTACCTTTCTGAAGATATTCTGTGCAGCAGTGATCAGTGTGTGTGGTTGTGTGAATATATGACCTTTCTCAATTTTTATTTTTTGCAGTGCTGGAGATTCATCCTAGCACCTTGTGCATGATGGGCAAGTGTTCTACCACTGAGCTACATCTACAGCCTGAATTTTTTTTTTCTTTTCTTTGATTTTGGTACTGGGAATCAAATTTAGGGACTCACGCTTGCCAAGTAGATGCTGCACCACTGAGCTACATTCCCAGCCTGCATTTTTTTTTTTTTTTTTTTTAAACAACAAAGGCAACAGCATAAGAAGCACTGTACACAGTCTCTTTTTGGAGAGGTTGGGTTTTTTGGGGTTTTTTTTGTTGTTTTTTTGAGACAGGGTCTCACTATGTAATTGAGACTGATCTGGAACTCACTATGTAGTCCAGGTTGGTTTCAAACTCACAGTGATCTTCCTGCCTCAGCCTCCTGAGTGCTGGGATTACAGGTGTGTGCCACCATGCCCGGCTTTTTTTGCTTTTTTATTTATTTATTTTTTGTCAGTTCATGAAGCGCTACATCAGGCCTTCTTTCTGCTCACATCAAAGGGATGATTCACGTGTAACCCACCCAGGTCCCTGCCAAGGGGTATGTGGGCCATGTCCTTCTCCTGTGGTCACCAACAGTGCCTGGGAAATATCCACAGACACTCATCCTCTCTCACGTGTGCATGGACACCAGCTCACTTTCACTCTTGACAGAGACCGCCATCCTTTCATATGTGCACCTCACATGACTGTGCATGAACGTGTGTGTTTAAGAAGAAGCCAGCTGTGTCGGTTTCTCTACTGTGGTGGTCCAATTCCTGACTCCCTTTTGGAACATAGTGTAGGAGTTTACGTGGTAGTTCCACATCAGTTTGGAACACATAATTTTCAAAAGGTTTATTTTCTTCCCCAATAATTTCTCTAACTTTCTAGAATGTATAGTTAAAAAAAAAAGAAATAAATATAATAAAAGGAAATAAATCAGTAAAAGCTATTAAATTATAAACTAAGTGGCCTTCCTCAGGAGTTAAACAGAAGTGAAGAAGGGCCTTGCCTCTCAATGTTGTCTGAAGTAGAAAGCTTGGTGCTATATCACATTAGACTTCTTGCAGCGTCTCGAGGCTTCCTCTTTCCCAGCCAGGGACCATGGGTTATGGCATCTGCTGGGGCAGGAAGTGAGATCTTCTCTGGTTTGAGTGGGTGGGCAAGGTTATGCTCAGCTGCCTGGCTAGTGAGCCTTGGAAATCCCTCTAAATATCTTGCTCTGTCCATTCTTAAGGAACCGAGAGGAAGGCTGAGTGTGTCCAAGGGCTTTCGTTCTTGGGGCCTGTGAGGCAGTCATCAGTAGTTTATCTTTGCAAAGGAAATCCCATCATTTCTTACTCCCACCAGAGTTGCCAAACTGCCCCCAGATTTGAAGCCTTTGGGTTTCATGGACTCTACCACATGATAGATTAAATGCCTCTCCTTGTAGCAAGCGACTGGATTATGTGAACCATGCCAGAAGACTGGCTGAAGATGACTGGACAGGGATGGAGAGTGAGGATGGAGATGCGAAAGATGACGAAGAAATGGATGTTGACACTGGCAAGAAGTTACCAAAGCGATATGCTAATCAAGTAAGTGGGCCAGAGACAACCAGATCCCCACCCTTGTCCTGACTCCCTTCACCTTTTTTGATGGGGAGGTGTTTTGAGTCAGGGTCTCACTATGTAGTTGAGACTGACCTGGAACTCACTACACAGCCCAGGCTGGTCTTGAACTCACAGCGATCCTGCTGCCTTAGCCTCTCGAGTGCTGGGATTACAGGCGTGTGCCACCATGCCCCAGCTCCCTTCACCTTTGATCACAGCCCACTGACATTGCTGCTGCTATAGAGAGGGGACAAGGCAGGGAAAAGGATAGGAATGGTGCAGAGAGGCAGGGAGTGGCATAGGATGGCTTCTGTGTGCTGGGAAGATTATGAGCTTGTCCTCTACCACTGAGCTCTGTCCCAGCCTCCATCATCCCCCTCAACAGTCCCCCTCTGCAGTGTCCCCTTCACTAGTTGCTGGCCTGGCTCAGACAGTACACAAGAAGGCCCTTCCTGGCTCTTTACACTTGGTAGTGGCAGGGTAGGAAGCACAGCTGTTCTTGAAGGTGAGTGTCTCATATCCAGCCAGCTGGCTAAGGTTGGGCTGAGCCACAGAACAGTGTACCACTGTGACAGACGTGACCAAATGCCCTGTTAGATCTGGTGGTGTGGTGCCGAGCAGGACGGGAGGATGCAGTAGTGTTGTGTGCGGGGGAGGCAGTATATAGACTGGTTAAGCACAAGTTGGCTCTGTGTTGACCTTGAGCCAGCGTCTGCACGCTGGGTCTTGAATCCAGGACCTTGCTTGTGCTGAGGCAGCTCTCTGCCACCAAGGCATTCTGCCTGCTCCCATTCAGGCATGTACCACCTCACCCAGCTTGGCTTGCAGTTTGGATTGACATTTCCCAGTCGTTGATGATGTTGAACAGCTTTTCTTCTTCTTCCTATCTTCCTTCTTTTCTTCCTTCCTTCCTTTCTTTCTTTCTTTCTTTTTTTTTGTTGTTTTTTTCTTTCTTGAAACAGAGTCTCACTATTTTATCCAGGATGGCCTTGAATTCATTGTGTATCCCAAGCTGGTCTTGAACTTGTGGTGATCCTCCTAATTCAGGTTTATGAATATTGGGATTATAGAGTGCTACCACACCTGGCTTCTTTTTTCTTTCTAACTTTCTTCTCTCTCTCTCTCTCTCTCCTTTTTTTTTTTTTTTGCTGTGCTGAGAATCAAACTCAGGGCCTTGTGCATGCTAGGCAAACACTGCCTGTACCAATCTGGCACTGAACAATACCCTAGCCCACTGGAACAGCTTTTTATGTACTTATTGGCCTTGTTTTCTTGGCGGGGGCTCACTGTGTTGCTCATGATGGGCCCGTACTCAGTCCTCCTGTCTCAGCTCCCAAATAATAAGGATTACAGGTGTGGTCACTGTACCCACCTCTTATTGGCCATTTGTATATATTCTTTGGAGGAATAGCTATTCAAATCCTTTGCCCACTCTCCTTTTTTTGAGACAGTCTCACTATGTAGCCCAGGTTGGCCTCAAATTCACAGTGCTCCTCTACCTGCCTCAGCCTCCCAAGTGCTGAGATTATAGGTATGTACCCTGCTTTTACCCACTTTTAGTTGAGTTATTTGTTTTTTTATTACTGATCATAAGAGTTTTAAAATATATTCTAGGTCCAAGGCCCTTATTGCATGTAAATATTTTCTTCCTTTCTTTGGGTTTTCTTTTCTCTTACTTGGTGGTGTTGTTGACAGTGCAAATGTTTACCATTTAGCTGAGTGTGATGGTGCACACCTGTAATCCCAACATCCAGGAGGCTGAGGCAGAAAGATCACCATGAGTTCAAAGCCAGCCTGGACTACACAGTGATTTCAAGGCCAGCCTGGAATACTTAGCAAGCCCATGTGCCCCCCACAAACCAAAACCAAACAAAGAAAATATTGCTAACAGAGAGTGTTGTGATGCTGTTAACAGGGGAGGGATGGGTGCCTCAGGCAGGGAAGAATTAGGGCCACAACAGGTGGTCAGTTCCACCTACATACACTGAGTTGAAGGTTCAAGGACAGGGAGAGGAAGAGACACCAAGCAGATAGCTGATACCTCAATCTGGAGGGGAGAGAGAAGTCTGAAAATGGAGGAGGAGAATCAAGAATCATTGCTAGGCTGGGCGTGGTGGCGCACACCTGTAATCCCAGCACTCGGGGAGGTTGAGGCAGGAGGATCACTGTGAGTTTGAAACCAGCCTGGCCTACATAGTGAGTTCCAGGTCAGTCCCAACTGCATAGTGAGACCCTGTCTCAAAAAACAAACAAACAAACAAAAGAATCATTGCTTAAAAAAAAAAAAATTCATTGCTAGAAGTCACAGAGCTGGAGAAACAGAGACCCACATCCAGGGCACCTGAAGCTGCCCCATTCCATGTTTTGAGGGAGTGTGGGAAATGCTTACAAAGTAGAATGGCACTATCAAGGATCCAAGAAGAAAATGTGTCAAGAAGAAAGATGTGGCTGGGGATGGTGCCACACATCTGTAATCCCAGCCAATGCTCTAGGAGGCTGAGGCAGGAGGATCTCAAGTTTGAGCCCAGCCTGGGCAACTTAGTGATTTTGCAAGACCCTGTCTCAAAATAAGAAACATAAAGGCCTACAGGTTCAGTGTTGTGTGAAGGCTCTGGGTTTAGTCCCCAGTACCACAGAAAAAGGAGGACAAGGAAGAGGAGATGGAGGAAGATGTGGCTGATCTCATCACACAGAGCAAGAAGTGGAGCAGGGAAGATAGAGGGAGGGGTTGCTTTTATTTTATTTATTTATTTATTTATTTTGTATCAGGGATCGAACTCAGGGCCTTGCACTTGCAAGGCAAGTGGTGGCACCACTGAGCTAAATCTCTGGCCAGGGGTTGCTTTTAGTAGGGCTGGGGCAGCAAATTTGGGTGAAGGAGTCAGAGTGGGTAGGACGATGGCATCAGTAAATATTAAGTAAGAGCCAGGCATCGGGGGGAATGTGAGGCTACCTGGGCTACCTAGGACAAAAGAACCATTTGGGGTTGTATGACTAATAGAAACAGGACTTTCCTAATATCCTTATTTACTTATTTATTAATTAATTAATGTATTATTGTACTGGGCATTGAATCTAGGGCCTTGTGATCTCCATTCCCAACATTTTATTTTATTTTGAAACAGGATCTCACCGAATTGTTCAGGTTGGCCTTGAACTTGTGATCATCCTGCCTCAGGCTTCTGAGTAATTGGGATTACAGGCATGTGCCACCATGCCCTTTAGGACAGTATTTGGGACATCCCATTTGGGAAATGATAGCATGGTCTTCCTCATCCTGAGGTGTAGCTCTGGAGTAGTTCTGCTGGTGGTCGGGGATGGACACCATAAGTCAGCTGTGCACAGCTGGAGCCCTCTGTCATCTTTTCCTGTTTTTGTCTGATTGTTGCAGGATACAGGTGCTTGGTCCTTGCAGCATTTGAATGGCACCCTGCTGACCTTTAGCACTGTGTTCTTGTGTTCCCAGTTGATGCTGTCTGAGTGGCTGATCGATGTCCCTTCAGATTTGGGGCAGGAATGGATTGTTGTCGTGTGCCCTGTTGGTAAGAGGGCCCTGATTGTCGCCTCCAAGGTGAGTTGTGCTGGCTTTCCCTGTGCCACAGGCCTGGTCCAGGTGCTCTGTGTGGACTTGAAAGGCAGGGAGGACATATTGAGAGCCATCTCAAGCAGTTGACCCTGCAGAAGAGTATGGGAGTGGGCTCAGAGGGCACAGAGGATGCCTCACAAGAGAGCTTTGTCCCTGCAGGGCTCCACCAGTGCCTACACCAAGAGTGGCTACTGCGTCAACAGATTTCCTTCCCTTCTGCCTGGAGGCAACAAGCGAAACTCTACCACAGGCAAAGGTACTGATGTGAGGCCTCTATGCATTGTTTTGTGAATCTGTGCCCTCAGTAAGGTCCTTGCAAGGCATTGTGTTATGGCCACTTTGACAGCACTCCAGGGAAACTGCAGGCAGATGCTGTTCCTCCAGGTTTGGGCCCCTGGGCCACATAGTAGGTGCATCTGTGCTAGTCATGTATCTCCAAATCAGGCTAGGGATTTAGCTCACTGGTGCCACCACCTGCCTAGCAAGCACAAGGTCCCAAGTTTGATACCTAATACCAAAAAAAAAAAAAAAAAAAAAAAAATCTCCAAATCAAGGAGACGCTGATGCTATGGACTTCCACAGCAAGGGGATTTAGCTCAGTGGTTCTGCCCCCTGCCTCACAAGCACAAGGACCTGAGTTCAATCCCTGGTACCAAAAAGAAAACAAGGGGACAGATGCACATATTAGTGAAAGTCCCGGAGGGGTTGCCAAGTGTCTTGGCACACTCAGCTGCTCCTGGGACTCTCACCAAATCCCCATTCTCCTTCATCCTTGCCCCAGCGTTAGCTCCTCCTGCCTGACCTAGCTGAGCACTCAGCAGCTATGGGGTTTAAACCATATGTCTGTGACCATTCTTTTTTCTTTTTTCTTTTTTTGAGGCAGTGTCTCCAGGTCTCCTTGAACCTGCTTTGTAGCTCAGCCTGGCTTCAAACTCCAGATCCTTCTGCCTTAGGCTCCCAAGTGCCAGGGTTATAGGCATGCACCACCACATTTAAAGGCAGCAAACACTTATAGTTAATATTCCTTGTATAACACAGTACCTTTGGTAAGAACTTAAAAAGCAATCATAAGATGGTCAATAAGTACATGAAAAAATGTTCAACTTCTTGGCCTGGGGATTTAGCTCAATGGTGCTACTGCCAGCCTAGTAGCAAGTGCAAGGCCTGAGTTTGATCCCTGGTACAAAAAAAAAAAAAAAAAAAAAAAAAAAAAAAAAAAAAAGAAAAAGAAAAGAAAAAAGTTCAACTTCTTTAGCCATTAGGGAAATGCAAAGCAAACTACATTGAGATTCCACACTCTATTCAGAAGGACGGACGGTCGTGAAGAATACAGAAAACAAGCCAGACCTGCTGGTATACTCTGGGAGGCTGAGGCAGGAAGATCTAAAGTTCAAATCCCGCCTGACTATTTAGTGACCTGGCAAGACCCTGTCTCAGAATAAAAAATAAGAAGTGCAGTGAGTGTAATTCAGTGCAGAGGGCCTTAGTTCAATCCCCAGTACCACTGGGGGAAAAAATACAGAAAATAATAAATGCAATGTGAGGATACAGGGGAAAATGTAACCGTCATACACTGTTGATGGCCATTCTGGCCAGTGTGGAGTTTCCTCAGAAATCTAAACAAGAGACAGCACTTGACTCAGCTGTGCCACAGATTGTGTATTCCAGGAGAATCAAAGTCGGCACGCTGTAGAGGAGCCCACGTCCCCATGTGTGTTGCAGCCCGGTTCATAATAGCTCAACCATGGTGTCAGCCTCCGTGGTCACCCACAGACGGATGGGTAAAGAACACGTGGATGGTGGGCTGTGGATTTAGCTCAGTGGTTCTGCCGTCTGCCTCACTAGCGCAAAGACCTGAGATTGATCCCTGGTATCAAAAAGGAAAAAAGAACATGTGGATGTACACAGCAGAGTGTTACTCAGTCATAGAAAACAAACAAAATCATGTCATTTGCAGGAAACTGGAGACCATCGTGTTAAGTGAAATAACACATATCACATTTTCCCTCATATGTGGAATCTTTAAAAAAAGAGAGATGATGTGATAGTGGAAGAGGGACTATTAGAGAAGAGAAAAGGAATGGGGAAAGGAAGGCGGAAGGGAGATGGAAATTATCAGAGTTTCTTATATGCATGTAGGAATCCGCCAAAGTGAAACTCATTCATCTGTATAATTCATATGCACTAATGAAAAGGTAATTAAACTGGGCATGGTAGTCCAGCTACACGGGAGGCTGAGAGGAAGATCACTTGAGTCCAGGGTTCAAGGCTATCCTGGGCGGCATAGTCTCTTAAAAAAAAAATTATATGTCTGTAATCCCAGCACTAGAGAGGCTGAGGCAGGAGGATCACTGTGAGTTCGAGACCAGCCTGGGCTACTTAGTGAGTTTATATATATAAACAAACCAGAAGATTACTTTCTTTCAGTTTTGAGCTTCTCAAAGGTTAATAAGTGTATCCCACTTTGTCTGAAAGTTGAGTTCTCCTGTAGCTGAAGGTTGCCTTGATTCCTCTGTGCCCATTCCCTGAAGTAGGGAGGCAGCCAGGCCCTGGCCCCACTCCCTCCCAAGTCCTCCATCCTTGGCGCTGGCCACTGCTGCAGATGCTGGGAGCAGCTGGGGCTCCCTGGACTGTGGCATGGGCCCGGGTGGAAGCAGAATCCTGACTCTGCTCTGTGTCTGCAGATTACACCATCCTAGATTGCATTTACAATGACGTGAGCCAGACCTACTATGTCCTGGATGTGATGTGCTGGCGGGGACACCCTTTCTATGACTGCCAGGTGAGGACCGGCCTCCCCTCAAGTCTTCCTGTCCCCTCTCCTTCCAGGAAAGTGGCTCAGCCTGTGACTTTGGTTCATGACCAGCATCTCGCATCTACAGGATGTGGTACATCAAGAGCATTATTATCTAATGTTCCCTACACCTTCGAGTGTGCTTAAACTTAAATTAGCTTCCTTTTATGACAGGCATGAGAGGAACTAAGGGAAGTGTAGTGATTCTTGAGAGGAAGAAAGAGATGTAGCAGCTGCTGCCACCCTCTCACCTCTCTCTAGAGGGTTGCTGGCAGGGAAGGTCTCAGGACAAGGAGCATGCTGCCTCATACAGGTGACACCAGGAAGAGAAGGTGGCATGAAAAGCACCATCAATGGGCTCCTGCAGCCTCCATTCCCTTCTCCCCTATGGCCTGACTGCAGTGGCAGGGCCTCCTTGGCATGACAGCCTCTGGTCTCAAAGACTGGCACTACAAAGACAATGTCTTTTCTCTCTCTCTCTCTCTCTCTCTCTCTCTCTCTCTC